TTTTTCTTCATCTCTATAGTAATTCTCACCCTTATTGCTGTAGGGTTGGCACTAGAAGCTTTCTTGGGGCCCATGGTCACTTATTTTCCAGAAAAAATCACCAAAAACACTAATAATATGAAATGTTCCGATTGTATGCTTGGATGTTACCGCGGAGGCTGGCTGGTAAACAATGCCACCGGCGGAACATGTGAGTGTGGCTCAGGCCGCACATTGGACGCGTCTCGGACGAAGGGCGGTGAGTGGGTTTTTGGGCGGTATGCGAGGCAAAATTTTTGCGAAAAAAGCGAGCGGTATGCGGATTGTACGGTATGCGATGCGTGTGGTATGCGGGGGTCCACTGTACTATACGAATATAGACCACAAAGTCGGCATTTTAATAAAAAAAAAGATCGGAGTTTTTTTTTTCTCATTATGCACTGCGTGCTCCAGGATTTTTTTTTATATGGTGCACACTGACCACACAGACCCCATTCACATGTGGGCCTACCAGCTTTCTCCTCCTTGATTTGAAGCCGCTAGAATTTATGAGTATATATACGTCAAACACGGTACCTCATAAGACGTATACAGTGGTCCCTCGCTTTTCGCAGTTCTCGGCAATCGTAAATTTCGCCAATCATAGGGGTATTTTCGTATAAACATGGACTCGCTTTTCATAGGTTGACTTGCGAATAGTAGTTCGTCCGGGACGCATACGCACGGTGTGAGCCAAGGCGGCCTCCCTACCCAGCCAGTCTGGCATTGTTTACCAGTGAGTGAAGGTCCCCTCAAGTGCTACGAAATATTTCATAATACTATTCCACTCATTTTAGTCCTTGCAAGTACTAAATAAGCTACCATGGCTCCAAAGAAAGCTCCTAGTGCCAAGCCTGTGGTAAAGAAGGTGAGAAATACATGTATGTACAGTGACAAAGTCTTGGGCCATTTTAGGGAAGTGTTAAAGAGACGCCAGAAACAGAGCTCTCTCCACAGTCACTTTGCGAGACAGGACTAGAGTGACTCTCAAGGTGGTCCTAGTGGCATTAAGAAACAGAGAAGAGAAGCAACTCCAGAGAAGCAATTGGTACCTGAGGTGTTGCTGGAAGGGGATTCCCCTTCCAAACTGTAAACAATCCAATCTCTCTCCTCCGGTCTCCCATACACTAAGAAGAATCTCCAATAAAGGTAAGTGTTATGCTGTTAATGTTTCATTCATCATTTCCCATTGTATTGTTTATGTACTACTACATGTATATTTCATGTAAAAATTTTTTTTTGTTTTAATACTTCTGGGTGTCAGGAACGGATTAATTGTATTTACATTATTTCTTATGGGGAAAATTGATTCGCAAATCGTAAATTTCATTTATAGTAGCTCCTCCAGGAACGGATTAATTACGAAAAACGAGGGACCACTGTATATACGGCCGCGACAGTCCAAGGGTTAAAGAGGGCAATTTTCTGTGGTATACCTGGAGAGAGTTCCGGGGGTCAACGCCCCTGCGGCCCGGTCTGTGACCAGGCCTCCTGGTGGATCAGAGCCTGATCAACCAGGCTGTTGCTGCTGGCTGCACGCAAACCAACGTACGAGCTACAGCCCGGCTGATCAGGAACTGACTTTAGGTGCTTGTCCAGTCAGCTTGAAGACTGCCAGGGGTCTGTTGGTAATCCCCCTTGTGTGTGCTGGGAGGCAGTTGAACAGTCTCGGGCCCCTGACACTTATTGTATGGTCTCTTAACGTGCTAGTGACACCCCTGCTTTTCATTGGGGGGATGGTGCATCGTCTGCCAAGTCTTTTGCTTTCGTAGTGAGTGATTTTCGTGTGCAAGTTCGGTACTAGTCCCTCTAGGATTTTCCAGGTGTATATAATCATGTATCTCTCCCTCCTGCGTTTCAGGGAATACAGGTTTAGGAACCTCAAGCGCTCCCAGTAATTGAGGTGTTTTATCTCCGTTATGCATGCCGTGAAAGTTCTCTGTACATTTTCTAGGTCGGCAATTTCACCTGCCTTGAAAGGTGCTGTTAGTGTGCAGCAATATTCCAGCCTAGATAGAACAAGTGACCTGAAGAGTGTCATCATGGGCTTGGCCTCCCTAGTTTTGAAGGTTCTCATTATCCATCCTGTCATTTTTCTAGCAGATGCGATTGATACAATGTTATGGTCCTTGAAGGTGAGATCCTCCGACATGATCACTCCCAGGTCTTTGACGTTGGTGTTTCGCTCTATTTTGTGGCCAGAATTTGTTTTGTACTCTGATGAAGATTTAATTTCCTCATGTTTACCATATCTGAGTAATAAGATAAGATAATTTTATAAGATAATTTTTTTTTTTTTTAAGACCAGTACTTACTGAGTTATAAGACCGTGAAGTTGGCTCTGGATGCTCACCTGATGGCAACATCCAGTTCTGCCGCTTGCAGAAGTGCTGCCGATTTACCTTTTTTCTCCTTTTTTTTTTAATTTGTATAATTTTTATGTTCTGATAATTATAATTTATAATAGTTCTTGTGGTTTCATAGCCAATCTTTGTTCTGACACTAATATTATGTACTGAAATAGTACTCAAATTGTAACACTCACACTGATAGGCGAACATTTTCACCTGTCCTGGTCATTTACTATTGCCTAGAAATATATACAAAGTATTTATAGGTCCCAGCAATGTTTTAGACATGCTGAGTATGAAACTTCTTGAAGCATGGTGTTATGACAAGGGTCAGAATGTGCCCTGCTGGAGGGAGGAACCTTGCCTTTGTGTGTTTTTACTCTTGCACACAAACATGTCTTTTTATGTCTATCAGCATGACTGCCTGTCTGTACATCTATCTGTCTGTCTGCCTGCCTGCCTGCCTAGGTCTGCTTATATGCCTGTCCAGTTCAGCTTATCTGTCTTTTTGTCTTTTGTGTGTGCCTGGAGTATAATATGAACTCCTTGAATAATGGTGTTATGATATCATCAGATAAAGTGACAATTGATGAAGGTGCACTGCTGGAGGGGGGAACCTTGCCTTTATATGTTTTTACTCTTGCACACAATTGTCTCTATGTCTATCAGTCAGTCAGTCTGCCTGACTATCTGTCTGCCTGTCTATCTGCACATCTGTCTGTACATCTATCTGTCTGTCTGCCTAGCTTTCATCTGTCTAGTTCTGCTTATCTTTCTGTCTGCCTGTCTGTCTTTCTGTCTGCCTGTCTCTCTTTCTATCTGCTTGTCTCTGTCTCAGAGAGCGGCTAGTAAACCTGTTGGTTTGGTATGTATGGGCTGCTCCCTGATTGCTGAACAAGTGACACTGCTATTATTTGTGTCATGTTTATTTATGTCTTAGATCTACAAACACTGTATAGCACTTGGCCTGGAATTTTTGGGTTATCCTAGGTAATTTACATTATGTATAATAACTGTATTTATGAGTACATGTGAGAGACAGATATATAGACAGAGATACAGATAGACAGTGACAGACAGAGATATCAACAGACATGTAGACAGATACAGACAGACAGCCAAAGCCAGCTAGCTGAATACATAAGAACATAAGAAAGAAGGAACACTGCAGCAGGCCTACTGGCCCATGCAAGGCAGGTCCATGTCACCCCCAGCTTAGACCAATGACCCACCTAGTCAGGTCACATCCACTGAAAGAAGGAACACGACATCTGACCTAGTAGCACAAGCTAGTCAGGTCCAACTCACACCCACTCATGCATTTATTTAACCTATTTTCACTTTCCTCTTAAAATGTGAGTGTTAATATGGCATCAGTGAATCATTGGTGTTTACCATGCTATTTGCTCTAGCTGGAGCTCAGTTGAACTGGTGCTCCCACAAGGTACTTAGTGGTCCCCGATTTTTTTCAAAGTGCGCACAATGAGTGCACAGACCCATTCTTTCATGTCTAGTCGACTCAGCCTATTGCACCAAATTTGAAGGAATGAAAAATAAAGCGTTGATCTATGTTCGGAGCCCACCGCACATGAACGTATATCTATGTGTGGACAGTTTAAGGGTTAAAATGTACTGCTCCATAACCTGTGCCAATACAGAGTAAGAATTAGGATTAGTCTGCCCAAAATGCCTAGGCATGCTAGTGGCTTTCTCTGTAATTAATATTTTATATGTAAACCACACATTGTAAGCTTTGCAAGGGAAAAACATTTTCATGTTCTATAACCAATGTTTACCTATATGCTGTATATACAGAAAGAATAAAACAGTTCTGCAAGCCTATTGGCCCATGCTAGATCTACTCACATCCACCCATTCCACTTATCTTCAACTATGTCCAATCAGTGCTTTCCAGTCTTAATTAAAAAAGACAGCAAACATGGCACAGGTAAAAATGGCACTAGTTTAAATAGAAAAAATGCACATCTAACATGATAAGTATCCATACCAGACCAAACATAGCCAACATCTATAACTAACCTTTTGCAATTAGTATCCATACCTAACCTAACCAGCATCCATACCTAGCCTAACCAGTATCCATACCTAACCTATCCAGCATCCATACCTAGCCTAACAAGCATCCATGTCTAGCCTAACAAGCACCCATGTCTAGCCTAACAAGCATCCATGTCTAGCCTAACAAGCACCCATGTCTAGCCTAACAAGCATCCATGTCTAGCCTAACAAGCATCCACATCAAGCTTAACTAGCATCCTCGACTAACCTAACTAGCATCCATAACGAACTCAACCAGCATCCATAACAAACTCAACCAGCACCCATAACTAACCTAACCAGCAACCATAACTAACCTAACCAGCATCCATAACTAACCTAAGCAGAATCTATAACTAACCAAATTAGCATTCATAACCTAACCAGCATCTATAACTAACTTTACCAGCATGCATAAATAAAAAAAATAATGAGACATTTCTTTCCTATTTTTCACCTGTACAATTTTTACTATGCCTTTTTTCCTTAGCAACATGCTTTCTTAGATGCATAATATTGGCCAAAACTAGAGTATACATAGTAGGAATTGCATGCAATTTTTAATTTACTCACCATATTCAATGAAGTCAGACACAGTCTTCTCACGACGTAGTGATGAGTTTGTGCATTCATCATACAAAACCACAAGCACATCCAAGAGGGTTTCTACAGAGTAACTCTGGCCACTTGTTTCAGCAGGCCCAGAAAGGAAGAGTCGCTCTAACTCCTGAAGCCGCTGTATTGCCCTGTTGGCATCTTGGACGTCAACAGTACCTCCATCATCTCCTCCTCCTCCCACTTCAACGACATCTTGTCCATCACCCATCATTGGCATGGGGATAACTCTTCTTAATTAGTAGTCTTATTTTAACACTCAATTACGGAAGAACAAAATTTCACTTAAGGCGCCATCAAGCCGTACAGGGTTAGGTGCTTTTATTATAATCAAGAATTCTTCTTCATTACTGAAATTTTCATAGCCTTATTCTCTAAGGACCATGTGCGTATCAATCATGTTGATAGACAACACTGTACCAATTTTTTCTTTTCTTTAGCTAGGCAGATTTACCCATACACAAAATTGTGTAAAATAATTTAACCTTTTCATTTAATGAGCAAATTGGATTGATCAGGAAGGCACATCAAGTAACACTGCTCTCAGGAACAACGGCCGAGGTTTCCAATGGATCACAAGTTTTCCACTGGAGAGCTGATGTCGTTGAGATATGAACACAATTTTCCCAAGGTAGAGCTGGGCTGTGGTGAACCACCTCTGAAAAGCAAAGATGTCAAAATTATTATAATTAAACCCAAATTATCTCTAACATTAACAATGAATTAAGAAACATTCTTGTCATATAAAAGCTAAAACAGACATACCCCACCCTACGCCATTAATTGGTCCGAAGACCCATAATGTAACCCGTTTTTTTACATAAACCGGACATAATGCTTTAAAATGATGAAAAATATCATGAAGCTTGCATAAATAACTCAAGAAAGAATATTACTTCAGCCTCTCCTCACTTAACAACATACTCGTTGACCGACAACTCAGACTTACGACGGGCTCTCTGACCAATGCGCATGCATAAATAATGTAGTATATTAGAGATGATTTCCTCTATTCAGTTTATTACAATACAGCCTCTCCTCACTTAGAGATGTACAGTGGAACCCCAGTTACAGACCATCGCAGAAATCGGTCGATTAGGAAATCAAGCACTTTTATCGGCGAAATTCTGCTCCAGATATTGGCTGTATGAGACGCATCACCACCGACTAGCAACGTTCTTCCTCATGTGTATCACACTCAGTCTGCGAGTCTCTCTTGTTGGATTAGGAATACTTCACAGCTTTATCCATGGGGCCAAAGAAAGCTCAGAGTGCCAGCCCTTTGGTATAAAAAGTGAGAAACATGATAGAATTCAAAAAAGAAGTTACAGCAAAATACAAAAGTGGTGTACAGTGGACCCCAGGATTAAGACATCATCAGATTAAGGAATAATCAGATTAAGTAACGTTTTTGTGTCAAAATATTGGCTCTGTGAACAACACTGAGCTCAGTTAACCCTTTGACTGTCGGAACCCCAAATCCTGAAGCGTTTCTTGGTGTCGCAAAATTTTTGGAAAAAAAAAAAAAAAAAAATTCTTATGAAATGACAGAGAATCTTTTCCCGAAGGTCATGGCACCAAAAGTACGAAAGTTGATCGAAAACTTGTGGAATTGCGCTTCCGCAAAGTTAGCAATTTCGGCGATATATACGCATCGCCTATTTCGCCGACTTTGAGCCTTATTTTTGGCCAATTCCATCGTTCCAGTCGACCAAACTCATAGCTATTTCTTTAGAATTCTATTTTTCCCTATCAAACGAGTACAAGAAAGCGCCCATTTACTGATTTTAACTACCCAATAAAGAGGTCAGAAATTGGCAATTTTGCCAACTTCATGCAAATTAAAAAAGATGCCAATTTTAAAATAGGGTCCAGAATAAACAATGCAGACATTCTTGGCACTAAAATAACATATCCTCTGTTCATCAGTCACGTCTCTAGGCCCCTGTTATATTACTCTTGCTTTCTATTTTGGTTTATTATTCAAACAAAAAATAGAAGATTTACTTTTATGCAGCCTACTGCATTATTGTAAAAATGGTATAAATAGTATCAGTGCATTACTGAAAGACTCTTAGACTCACCAGTTGATGTATATTGGACGTGTGGTGTGATTTGCTTACTCTTGAACATTGGTAAAAATCGAACATTTCCGCTACTTTGAGCTCAATTTCAAGGCCGTTTTCATCGTGAAACTAATCAAAATCATCTCTATTTCTGTAACATGTTTCCACATTCTATCAAATGAGACCAAGAAAATGAGAATACAACCATAAATACTATACAAGAATACACCTCAAAGTTGGCAGTTTAATCCAAAAACACAGACGGAGTTTTTTCTCTCTCATTATGCACAGCGTGCTGCAGGATTTTTTTTATGTGGTGCACACTGACCACACAGACCCATTCTCTCACATGTGGGCCTACCAGCTTTCTCCTGCTTGATTTGAAGCTGCTAGAATTATTGAGTATATATACGTCCGAAACACTAGCTCGTAAGACGTATATATACGACCGAAACAGTCAAAGAGTTAAAGTCAGCCGTCCCGAACATGTCCGCACGCCGTGAACGGCCCGGCCACTTCATGTACAGCCAGAGGGCTATTGTTCACAAGCCAGTGAGGACAATTCCACATGTACAAGAGATACATTTTGTATTATTCCATTGTTTTTAGTGCTTTTAACTAAATAAGCCACCATGGGCCCAAAGAAAGCTTCTAGTGCCAGCCCTTTGGTAAAGAGGGTGAGAAACACTATAGAATTCAAGAAAGAGATCATTACAAAATACAAAAGTGGAGCACGTCTCCAAGCTGGCCAGGTTGTATAACACCATACAACCATCACTATTATCTTGGCCAAGAAAAAGGCAATCAAGGAAGCTGTTGTTGCGAAAGGTGCAAATATGCTTACAGAACAGAGATTACAAATACTCAAAGATGTGGAGAGATTGTTGTTGGTGTAGATCAATGAGAAACAATTATCAGGAGATACAGTGGACCCTCAGTTAACGACATTAATCCATTCCAGAGAGCTTGTCTTTAACTGATTCTGTCGTTACCCGAATTAATTTTCCCCATAACAAATACAGTGGACCCCGCATAGCGAACGCCTTGCATAGCGAACAATCCGCATAGCGAACGCTTTGTTCGCTGAAATTTTGCCCCGCATAGTAGACAAAAACCCGCTCAGCGAACTTCGTCCGAGACGCGTCCAATGTGGGCCCTCAGCCAGCCTCACATGTGCCGCCCGTCCCATTGTTTACCAGCTAGCCTCCGCGGTAACATTCAAGCATACACTCGGAATATTTCGTATTATTACAGTGTTTTCGGTGCTGTTTCTGGAAAATAAGTGACCATGGGCCCCAAGAAAGCTTCTAGTGCCAACCCTGTGGTAAAAAGGGTGAGAATTAGTATGGAAATTAAGAAAGATTTTGAAGGGTTTGGGGCTAACCCTGAGAAGCCTATGCCAGTTGTGGAATCCATTGTGCCTACTTCAAAAATTAAGGAAATGTGTGCACAGTGGGTTGAACTGCAAACCTTTATGGATGAAAATCACCCTGACACAGCTGTTGCAAGCCGTGCTGGTGACTATTTCAATGACAATGTTATGGCCCATTTTAGGAAAGTCTTGAAGGAACGGGAGGTACAGAGCTCTATGGACAGATTTGTTGTGCGACAGAGGTCCAGTGACTCTCAAGCTGGTCCTAGTGGCATTAAAAGAAGAAGGGA